TATGAGCCAGTTGCGCTGTGTGCAGAGATTGCTTGGGGCCAGATTACAGCTGGTACCTCTACGTGGGAAGGAATCTTTTGGCTCCACTATGGGTCCCGTGTCCTCTTGGCACGTCGGCTGTACCCTGCTAGCACTGCGCTTGCCAGGCAGTATGCATCCCTGGTCACCTTCTGGAACAGAGCTCCCACCAGGAGCCGCTGGACTGCTGGGTTCCCCGTGGAAGGTTGTGGTCTTCCTCGGGCAGGGCCACCCCGCAAGCCCACAAGCTGCACTCCCTCTCTGCAGGCAGCTGAACTGAACCGCGGGTGCAAGCAGGAATACTGCCGTGTTTTCACACGCTTTCAGACATAGTTTGGGCAGCTTATTAAATCTCCAGAATTTCATGCCTATATTCAGAAAAATTATAAATGTTAAATTGTTTGGCAGCCTCTTATTAGTCTTGTCTTTTTTCTAGCAATGCGCTAGAGGTTTACAACCTGTCAAGTGGTTCATCTGCAAGAGCTTGTGTTCTGTGCTGCTTCTCGCAGTCAGGCTGATAGGCTAGTTAAAGTAAAAGGTATCTTGAAAGAAGTAGAAATAGCTGTCTCCTCTAGAGGACAGTTAAACTCTTGCAGTGGTGTGGTGATTGCACAATGCAAGAACTGGAAGAAGTTCAGGAAAGTTATACGGCAGCAATCTCCTTCTGAGGTCAGAGATGCTAGCAAGTAAAGGGGGTGAGTGTCATAAGTGTAGGCTTTACAGGAGGGCTTGGGAGGACTCCTGAGCTCCATGCTTTCCAAATGCTGGTGTTTCACCTCAACATTGCTACAGTTTTCCCTTAAGGATAAAAATACTAAACACTTCAGTCTATTATGAATATTGCATGATCCACTTCAGAAACACCTGGTTTCTCACAGCTTTGCTTGATATTTGCAGCAGCTCTGTTAGGCACGTACTGCACTTCTCCTGTGAGCCTTAGAGCTGAAGGGGAAAACTGAAACGCTACTGATTCGGAGGGTGAAGATACATTGCAAAGTTAGTGCACCTAGGTATGCCTCCAAAGAGAAAAGCTGAATAAAAATCCACCTTGATGTGCTCTTGAATTGCAAAAGCCTTCTAATGCAGCCTGTGCCCATGATTTATAACAATGACTCATAATATTGCATTATACTTAATATGATGTAACGCTGATGCAAGATGCCATTCGTGGAATTTCAATGTCACAGAGAAAAAGAGAGGAGAGAGCAATCTGGTCATGTACTTTGCCGTGCTGTCAAAATGAAAAGTTTACAGCCAAAATATGTAGCGCCTTTCGGTACCTACTTTGCTATTTTTTAGCAGGCTAACTTGGCGGATAACTTTTTTATTTCCTGGAGCATAAGTATCTCTCAGACATACCATACACTTACAGTAATTTAATTAACTTTGTACTTGAGAAGACAAATTTGCTAAGAGACAATTCAGCCTTGCAATTATAACCCCTCACAAGGAAGTTTGCAGGGCAGATCAGGATTATGCTTTTAAATTACTTCATGCTTTATCTCTCTTTTCTGACCCAGCTGTTACGAATTCTCCTCCTGTTCTCCCTGTACTGCTTGCTTCTTCCTGCAGTGAATCAGCACTTCAGGAAATACTAATTCAAAGAGGAAAGACACCCTAAACTCTGTCTCTGGAGGTCAGAAATAGTGGCTCTCCAATAGGTTCGACAAATCATGTGAGGCTTCTCGGGCTGCTTGGGGCCAGCTCTGTAGGGTGGATGCGACCCGTGTTCTGAACTCTGCCCCTTACCCTCCGAGTAGCCTGGGAACTTTGACGTTGTGCCTCTGTGCTACAGAACTGAGTCCCGTGGTTCGTGGCCAAGACAGAGGGAGAAACACAGAGTTAGCCCTGTCCTTTAACAGCAAGGAAAACTGTTCCTCGCTCCACCCCGGCCGCGGAGGCATCACGGGCGCTCATTCCGCGGGAACCGCTCCATCGTCTGCAGTGTGGGAGCCGCTGGAAATGGAGACGTTCCGCGCGTGCTGATCTCAGGTGGGATGCGCTGCTGCCTATGCACAGGAATATTTTTCAAGCATTGCACTAGCAAGGCTGTTCAGGAAAGGAAACAGCAGCTTGGATTTTCTCCACCTATGACCTCTAAAATCCTCCACGTTTGACACAGTCAATTCTTATTTGCTTCTAGAAAGAGCTGCCAGATGCTTGTACTATTGCTCTGGCAGATTCATGCGTTCAGTAGGTTCACTGAGACTGTTGTCGGCACCGCAGGCAGCAGAGAGACATCTGCCTAGGTAAGACAAGATTACGAGAAGGTGGAAAGTCTTGAAATTAGATCTCAAAAAAAGTCTGGATCAGGCTTTTCCTGGTGGTCCTCTGTTGGTTTGTACCCCGCAGTCCCGCCTGTGCTCAGTTTCCCCGGTAAGCCCCGCAGGCCTGCCCACTGCAGTGTAAAGCCTGTCATCTCTTGCTCACCAAGATCGAACAGATTCATTTACTAGTGATTCTCGAGAAGACAACTAGATAATAATATATGTATGATTTACTAGAGTGCATCCTGAATCATCTGCAGCCAGCGCCATGCTAAAGAAGGACCTTTTCACGGATCATTCGTGAGCACGCAGGGGAGTGGGCACAGCACACGGTGCGGTTTCACCTTGCAAGACCGGAGAAGTAGAGGGGACTGACTTTTGAACAGCATAGCGGTGCCTACAGGTGAAGATAACAAATCAGTAAGAATTGAACATCTAGTTTATTTTTGGAAGCCCCATAGGTGCCAGTCTGTCTCCTAAGTGCATAAATATCATCAAAAACCTAGCCATGGGCGAGTAAAGCTAGACAAGAATTTGTAGCCCAGAGGAAAGCCACCAAGAATAGATTGTGTAGAGGCCGATAAGATCCTTATTGCTCCAAAAGGGAGAGTACCACCTCAAAACAAGACAGTCTTTGTTGTGAAAGGGTTAGGTAGTGAGAGACCTAGCTTGCCAAATACCCATAATGGCCTCCCTCTGCCAATTGTCTTTAAATACTGTGATCTTTCACATAAGAGCAAAGCCTGAAAGGAATCTCTCTAGCAAAAACATCATTTATTCATTCTCTACAGGACGGTGGAGCAACGTGCCTCTTCTCAGTCATCTTACTCTTTCTTTCCCCTAAAGATTTCAAACAGAGATTTGTTCAAACAAAGATCAGTAATTTCGCTCTGTAAGGGATGCAGGAAGAAGCGTAGAAATATCTCTAGATCAGAACAGTTCCTGAGCCTGCTGGAGAAATGGCCGATCGCCAGAGATAGCACGCACCACTGTTCTCCCAGATAACAATGCGTAGAGCTGATCTTCCAGGCATAATCTTTTAGGACAGCAAATTGTGCAAGTATAGGTGAGAAACACAAGGAGCTCATGTCCTCAAGGAGAGGCTGATGAATGCTTTGCCTTCCCACAAGCCAGCTCCAGGACTAGTATCGCTCCTCCTCTACCCTAGGTCCATAACTGGGTGATAACAGATCCAAGAAATGCAACTTCTGGTTTTTGTCTATATCTTCGAGCTTTGTAATTGAAAAAAATTTCTGAGGTAGTAGGCAGTTCCATCTATGTCTGCAGTCCTCTATAGGCTGCTGTGTTGTTTCTTGGGAATGTTTTACAGCCAGCGCCTATCGAATAAAAACAGACCTTTCAGGGAAGTAGCTTTCCCACAAAGGTGAAACTCCTCTGCTATTTTTTATTTCAGAGGACTTGTGCTTGTCTGTGCAGACTGTGGGCCTCGGTGCTTTACCAGGCTTTTCAGTATGTGCCTTCATGCTACCAGAAGCCAAGTACTAAAGGTACTGAATCTCAGATCATTCGATTAGCAAGTATCACCGGTTAGTCGCTGAGGTATTCTCAGCATGCCGTCTTAATTTCGCTAGTGTTTTGAAGTACCATGTTTGCACTAGAGAGCCAGACACGGGCATTTGCAATACTAAGCAGAGTAAAAGCCATACTCCAACCTATGAAACTCCTACAGCAGCATTAAATAAAAGAAAAGTTAGGCTTCTGTTTCGGGTGGAAACGGCTTTTCTTCAATGCCATCTGCTTGGCTCCAGCGTAAGTGGAGATGTCTCAGAGCCTACAGGTAATTGCCACAACAAATACAGTATCCACAAATTACCTGCTGTTCCTGACTTCCTTCTCCCATTTGCTTGTAAGTCACACTAGCGCAAGGCTAAAATCAGTACTAGCGCGCGGGCTTGCAAGCGGTGAAGGAGGTAAAAGAGAGAGCTAGGAAAGCGAGAGGATTTACACTCCTTCTGTAAGACACGATCAGCAAAACGGCGTCTCCCGCAGGGAAAGCAGCGCTGGCCTGTACCCGCACACGGCTGGATGAGGAACCCCCGGCTGGAGCATCTGCAGCGGCTGCCACCGGCGATCAGAAAACCGGCCGAGCGCAGCCAACGGCAACGGCGGCAAATCTGGGGCAGCCCCCGAGCCCCCGAGCCGCTGCCTTCCCCGGCGCTGGCTCTGCAGCAGCTTTTGGGACCGCCCGGTCCCCAAGAGCGGGGAGGGAGCGGGCACCTCGCTGTGCGAAACGACAAACCAAACCCACGGGACGGGGTAGCAGCGCGCCAGCCTGTGGCCTTTCTGCTAAAGGCTTTTTCTCCTTGTGGAGGCAGCCCTCGCACAAAGGGCAAGGTTTAAACAGTTGGGTGAAAACGATCCCTTTTCAAATGAGTGAGAGGTTCATGTCTGAACCTGACGAGAATCCCATTCACCCGCACAGTAGCAAGCAAGCTTTTTATCCTAAGCACCGTCTGGCTTTCCAAACAAAATGTTTGTTTCCTTTCTTCCTTTTACAACGAGTAACATGGAGACAAGTATTGGATGGACAGATGGTCCAACGAGCTTGTATAACTTGCAAAGGTGCCCGCTTGTCTACTTCGAAACGAGGTGAGCGTCACAGCGCGCTGTCGTTCCCACGCACTGCACGCGACCCAACCCCATCCCCGTTCCCGGCCGGAGGCGGCCGCGCCTGCGGGGAGCAGAGGTACCTACCTTCCGCCCGGCCTCGTTGTTGTGCAGGTTCATGAGCGTCCTTGCGTTTTGCTTAATCTCCCGGGCGTCCACAAACACTTTGGCAAATCCTATTCCGTATCTGATGTCAGCGGAGCAGCCTCCCCACTTCCATCCTTCCTCCTTATGGTACTGCCCTTGTTTTTCTTTGTCACAACCACAGTCGCTCAGGTTGCCCTGCGTGCAGGCAGCCGTGATGGCATGTGCTACTCCAGCAGCAATGATGGCGTACGTGAACGCTGCTTCTCTGCTACCTGAAATTAAAACAGTGCCGTAAGTAGGCGATACAGCCTGGCGACGTTAGTTAGGAACGGACGGGCAAGTTCCTGCGGCGCAAACAGCAGAAGGCTATTATTAGAAGTGCCGTAAATCTGCAGGCATAAGCAGGTCTCCACTTCTCTAAGTATTAATTTTTGTGGATGTTCGCTCTCTAAAATGATAGCTTTCCATGAGGTGGTAGGAGATAAAATATTATTTAAGCCACTTCATATATATATTTTTCCAGATGGTATTAGAAGTAGTCAAACTAAACTTTATATAGCAGAAGGGTGGGGTGGCACATGCTCTAGCTCAAAAAGAAAGAAAAAAAAAAAAGAGTGGAATTGGGGGTGAAATTGCTATAACATACCTATTCAACTTTTTAAAAATCAGCTCAGAAATGGGATTCTGTTTAGAAATTTAATTCTACACTAAGAAGTATTTTTACAGGAAAGCAGCCTCTGTTAAAAATCTTGTTCTGAAAATATTCTAGCTGAACTGGAACATTTTTTCACATGGTAGGTGTCACAAAGTTTCCAACATGGACATTTGTGCAAACTCAGTGAAATAGGTTTTGGTTTTAATTTCAAAATTTCTCACAGGATGGCAAAAAATATCCTGGCCTGTTGTAGGTACCATGACAAAAAGCAAGGCAAAGTAACAGCCTCACCAGAAGGCTGTGAGGAAGTGGATACGCCAACATTATTTTGTGCAACATGGCTATAATGACAGGCTTCTGTTCGTTTGGGGGGGTTATCACTTTCAATCTATGATTTAATTTATCGTCTTGGAGCTTTCTTGCATTCTGATGTGTCAGTTTTTCATGTGTGGATCCTATGGGATCTGCAAGGCTTTTGGAACCGTTTCTGCTGAGAGAGGGCCTCTTCAAAATTCAGGAGGTTTGCAGAGGTTCATACAGGTTGCCCATGCATTTCAAACAGCCCTTTAAATATTCTTGGATGTCCCAGACCAAGAACCTACCCCTACTCTTATCTCTCCAATGACAAAATGTACTCTTGCATCAATAGGATCAGAATCAGGCTCTTAATTAGGAGGGGGCAGATGGGAAGATCAGCTTCCCTTCTCCAAACACCACCAGTTAGGTTCTGGCAGACCCCAACGGCTGGCAATAGTTTATTATACACGAAACAAGCACATTTCTGCTGTTTATTGGATTTAGAAATCATCACTTGGGAAAGAAATCTCACAAGCACATCGTTCTCAGCTACATCACTTTCACATACATGATCTGGATTTCTGTACTTGTCACTAAATGGTTCTTTTAAAGAAGAATACTCACTTCCTGATGGCAAGGAAGTAAAATGGAAAACAAGATGACATAATCAAAATCAGTTAATAGGCAACTTCGTGCCCTTTTATTAACATAGGCAGTATTCCCATTGATACTGCTATGCACTGTGTTTATCGAGGAACTTGTAGTCAAATATCAGACTTCCTTCTTGCTTTCCCCTATTTAAAAAAAGAAAAATCATAGAATGTTAAATCATTATGACTGTGGACTTTGCTGATGAGGCTTTCTAGAACCAGTGACTTTTTATGAAAATCTGAATGTTGGATGGAAATCCCAGGATTTAGGTGTATTTGGAGTTGTGCTCTCTGTGTGGCTGGGTGGGGGCCAGAGGAGGCAGGTGAAAGTGGGGTCCCACTCCAGAGTGAACCCGCAAGGACCAGCCAGGGCACCTTTCTAGTTCCTCCTCCAGTTTATCCTCAACAATATCCTCACTATTTTAAGCACAACACTATGAAAGATGCGCTGATAACCAGGGGAAGGTGCAGTAAGAGGTCCCGGGTTCTCCGCTCAGAGGGGAGCAATGCATTACGCCAGACTTCTGTTTCATGACGCAGCAAATGGGACATCATCAAAAAAATATTTTCAGCTGAAATTGGCATCTGGTTGTGTTTTCCCTTTGGTTGGATGGGATTTTTTTAATCTAGCACTAGTTGTTTTCAAGATCTAGAATAAAAAACAGTGGGAGATCATTTTAATCTGACACACTCAACATTGTAAAGAGTGAGCAGCTCTTTTGCTTCTTAGAGGGTAGAAAAATGCAACGCAGAGAGCATAAAACTAGCACAAGCAGAATCAGAATCCAATGTCGGGTTTGATCATAAAATATGTTAGAGAAATTAAGCTATTTTACAAGTTTGTCTTGTTTGGGGGAAAAGTTTAGCAGCTTTTTAAAACTAAAAGGAGATTTCAAGGTAAACAAAGCAAGGGTCTGGAGGAATTGATCTAGGTAGGAAGCACCTTGGCACTTGTGAAATATTGAAAAAGTGGCATGGGCTTGTCATGTCTTCATCAGACTATCCCTCTTTTCCATAAATGATTCACTTTTTTAAGCTTCATTACCCTCATCTGGCTCATAGAAATGTCAGCATACGGGCTAGGGGTAAGCGCAGCCCATCTTGAGCCTCTTCAGTGACAAGGCAGTAGCTACCAAAACAGTGCAATCGGGTTTTTGTAACCAAATGGGATAACGTGACTACCCGTGTTTTCCTGCCACTTTTAAGTAGCAAATACTAGTCCTCTACTTCTCCTTTCAGCAGGCAGTTGAAATGCCTGGAGGATCTCAGGAAATGCTGCTTTAACGATGTACGCTGGGGCAGCTGCTCCTTGCAGGCAATGGTTTGTTTCCTCCGAGCTTCTGCTGATGCTCTAGAGCAGGCTGAGCAAGGAAGTACTGCTCCATATTCAGTCTAATCTCAAAATACGGGTAGGTTGAAACCTCATCACTTCTCAATTTCCAGAGATGAACAATTTGGGAAATGACTTGATACAATCCTCCTTTATTTTCTTTCTTGTTTATTTTTCAGCCTACGCTTTTTGTGTGCATCCGACAACCAACTTAGACCTATGCCTTACTTTCTCTCTGAAAATCTACTAGTAAAAAATTCAGGATCTTAGTGTTACAAAAAGGTCAGGCTTTGATATCAACACAATACCAAGACTCTCTCATATTTATTTTAAGCTGTAGGTGATGGTGACTGTAGCATCACCAAATACTTCACAGCTGGGA